AGCGGCAGAGGGTGGTGACGAGCTGGCGGAGGTGTTCAAGCTACGCCCAGCAACGGCCGAGGAAAGCAGAGGAGACACCTGCTTGGCCTTGCCCTTGAAGGTGGCATTGGTGATGGCGGAGAGCGAGGTTTTGAGTGCGTTCATGGCGGTTGATACTCGCGAGTGTCGAGCCAGTCTCGAATGACTAGCTGATGCGATGCGCAGAGGTGACCGTATACAAGCAAGACGGTAGTAACAGCTTGGATGGCGGCAGTCGCTTGAGGCTGGCTTCAAAAATCCCCAACAGCTCGCCTGGAAAGCTTCCATTCTGCGGGAAATTCTCAACCCGCTCTCACTCGCCCGATGTCACAGCTCCAAAAAATGCAAGGCTTCCACTCGCACGATACCGCCCAATCGGAATTTCTGGGCGTCTGTCGAGATTCTTCGCATCCCAGCGCAGCACTGCATCCCCAGAGTGATCGGCCGGTGCTTGTTTGACCCGAATGGCGGCCGGCAAAGTGGCGAAGATCGCGGATCAAGCACGTCACTCAGCTCGCTGTCATACTCAAATCGCAGACGGGTTCTGAATCAAGCTTCGGAACATCGTGTGCGCTCGGTGCGGCGGTCAGAGGGGTCGGACAACAGTGAGCATGTTAGAGTCACTTCAACACCGGGAGAGGAAAGGTCGGCTCGGTTGAGCACGGAACGAAGCCCCGGCCATTCCATCCATGGCTGATCGAAAGCCAAGGGCCCGCGCGCACGCCTTGGCTCGGCGCCTTTGGCCGTTGCTGGGGGAGAGCGTGGTTCGGATCCGTGAGCAACTGGTCCACGCCTGGGCTCTGGAGCAGCAGCACGTCCCAATTTTCGATTCGAGAAAAAAAAAGTCTTGACTGGCGCTGCAACTACAAACCTGAGCTCACGTTTTGAAGCGATTCTAATCGAGCGCAATTCAATCGTTGATTGATCCAACCAATCCAACTCGAGCGAGAATCGGAGGGAGCGCACTGCGCTAGTGCCCGGCTCCCTCGGTTTGGGCGGTCTGTTGAGATCGAAGCGACGCTGGAGCCAGCTCCTAGAGCAGGCGAGCAGGCAGCGCAGCGCACAGTCAAGCAGCAGCAGCAGCAGCAGCAGCTTCCAAGAAAGACGGCGGCGCGCCGCACGGTGGCAGCACAGCAGCCAGCCACTCACCACCCCAAGAGAGAGGGAGGGAGAGAGAGAGAGCGGAGACCAGGATTCGAGAGAGAGAGAGCTTCCGGTCGTCTCACAGGCTGGGCGGCTCTGCCCATTTTGGTTGGGCAGCGTTCCCTCGTTCGCCCGCGCCCACCGCCGCCGCCGCCGCCCAAGCGCTGAATCTTCTCGCTCGCTCCCCCCCCTCTTGCGCCCTCCTTCTCCCTCTTCGCTCCTCATCCGCATCCCTTCCACCACCTCCCACTTTCCCGTATCGCCTCCCCCGTCTTCATAGTCGCCGCGATGCTTGCTCGTTCCGCCGGCATTGCCACCGCCAACCTCGCCCGATCGGCCGCCGTCCCTGTGGTACGTATGATTGCCGTCTTGGTCCCGCCGTGATCGTCAGCAGCACAGACATACCCAAACACGCAGCTTGGAAGATGCGGTGCTCGAGCGCCGATCCATCTCGGCCTTGGCAACATCGAGAGCCCTCGCACGCTCAACGCCAGCGTCACAGCCTTTCTCTCGTCGATGTCGAGGACTACGCCCCCAACAACACAGCCAGCATCGTCATCATCATCATCATCATCAGCATCATCTGGGTTCTCTGGCAAGCCCTTGTTGCACTCATCGACAGAACCTAGACCTGGACCTGCCCTTAGCATAGCTGGCTTCTGCACTGCTCTCAGTTCTGCCCTGCAATGTGCTTGCCATGTCGTGGGCACCTCTGTGACACCCGATCATAGCATCCTGGCCGATTGCTGGCAGGAAGCAGAAATCGCCAAGCCAGTCACCAAAGACTGCGAAAGTCGATACCGATCCAATTAGACCAACAGTGCTCTCATCTCATTCTCGGCCATTACCGCATCTTCCAAGCTGTCGCTGCTGCCTAGATTCCAGCGATGGACCATTTGGTCCATCTCATCATACCTGGCCTTCCAAAAAACCCCTTCAACATCGTCGCTGACCTTGCTCTGCCCTCTTTTCCTCATTACAGGCCCGCCGATCGGTTGCCAACGCCGTCCGCACCTACGCCACCGCCAAGCCTGGTAAGTGCAGGTTGAGCAGCAGCAACACCATGCTGTCTTTCCTCTCCTCGAACGCTGTCCACTGACCATTCCTCCTCATCCACTCGATACTTTTTTTCCGACCGCACACCAGCCGCTTCCGAGGTCAGCTCCATCCTTGAGCAGCGCATCTCGGGCGCCTCCGCTGGCGGCGATGTCCAGGAGACCGGCCGTGTGCTCACCATCGGTGACGGTATCGCCCGTGTCTACGGCCTCCGCAACGTCATGGCCGAGGAGATGGTTGAGTTCTCCTCCGGTGTCCGCGGCATGGCCCTCAACCTCGAGGCTGACAACGTCGGTGTCTCGATCTTCGGTTCGGACCGTCTCATCCGTGAGGGTGACACGGTCAAGCGTACCGGCCAGATTGTCGACGTGCCCGTCGGCCCCAACATGCTCGGCCGTGTCGTCGACGCGCTCGGCAACCCCATCGACGGCAAGGGACCCATCGAGGCCGCCGAGCGTCGCCGTGCCTCGCTCAAGGCGCCCGGCATTCTGCCCCGTCAGTCGGTCAACGAGCCCATGCAGACCGGTATCAAGCCCATCGACGCCATGGTGCCCATCGGCCGTGGTCAGCGTGAGCTGATCATTGGTGACCGTCAGACGGGTAAGACCGCCGTCGCCATCGACACCATCCTCAACCAGAAGCGCTGGAACGACGGCCAGGACGAGAGCAAGAAGCTCTACTGTGTCTACGTCGCCGTCGGCCAGAAGCGCTCCACCGTCGCCCAGCTCGTCAAGGTGCTCGAGGAGAACGACGCCATGAAGTACACCATCATTGTTGCCGCCACCGCCTCGGAGGCCGCCCCTCTGCAGTACCTCGCCCCCTTCTCGGGATGCGCCATCGGCGAGTGGTTCCGTGACAACGGCAAGCACGCGCTGATCATCTACGATGACCTGTCCAAGCAGGCCGTCGCCTACCGTCAGATGTCGCTGCTTCTGCGTCGTCCCCCCGGTCGTGAGGCCTACCCCGGTGACGTCTTCTACCTCCACTCGCGTCTGCTCGAGCGTGCCGCCAAGATGAACAAGACCCACGGCGGTGGATCGCTCACTGCCCTCCCCGTCATCGAGACCCAGGGTGGTGACGTGTCGGCCTTCATTCCCACCAACGTCATTTCCATCACTGACGGCCAGGTGTACCTCGAGTCGGAGCTGTTCTTCAAGGGTATCCGACCCGCCATCAACGTCGGTCTCTCGGTGTCGCGTGTGGGTTCGGCTGCCCAGTCGAAGCTGTACAAGGCCGTGTCGGGTTCGCTCAAGCTCTCGCTCGCCCAGTACCGTGAGCTGGCTGCCTTCGCCCAGTTCGGTTCGGACTTGGACGCCGCCACCCGTGCCACGCTCAACCGTGGTGTGCGCCTTGTGGAGCTGCTCAAGCAGCCCCAGTTCGTGCCCATGGCCACCGAGGTGCAGATCCCCATCATCTACGCCGGTGTCAACGGCCTGATCGACTCGATCCCCGCCGACCGCATCGTCGAGTGGGAGAACTCGTTCCGCGAGAAGCTGCAGACCGAGGACGCCCTGCTCGCCGAGATCGCCGCCGGCAAGCCCAGCGATGAGCTCTTCAACAAGATGAAGACGCTCGTCACCGAGCACGTCAAGGGCTTCCTCGCCTAAATGGGCGTGCATTCCCTCGAACAAGAGCGTCGGTAGCTCGTCTCACAGTTGCGTGCGACGTTGTCAAAAGTCGCGCTCGATGAATGCCAACGTGCCTCGCTGTGGGGACGGTCCGCCAAGCTTGGCTTGACAGTGAGCAACGGGGCTGCGTCCACTCCACGCAGTCCTGTTTTCTCCTGTGCACATGTTCCCTCCCAACCCGAAAGAAATCCATACACAGTATCGCTAGATGTAGGGCAGTGTGTGTGTGCAACGAAGATGAGATCGAGTGAGGCATGCAATGTGGGCATGGTGAGGCCGCCCGAGGCGATTCAGGATAGAGTGGCTGTGGGGGAAGCGGGATGAATTTTTGGCGTTGTCGGGCTGCGATGACCGCAGCGCGCGACCGTTGGAGCAGTCCTTCTTCACGCCGGGATCGAGCGAGCTCGAGAGAAAAATGCCGTCCGAAAATCGCGTCTGCAGTGGTTGCGAAGAAATGAGGTCACGGCTCGACTGGCTGGGCTTGGGTTGACTGGCTGACTGTCTGACTGCTGGCTGGCACGCTGCATGGGAGACTTGGAAATAGCTCCGAAAAGGCAGAGAGAGCAACACGCGCAGCCGCCTCTGGTTGGATGCCCGTGCCCGCTCTCCTCTGCCTTTTTCCCCAGCAGCTGCAGCCAAAATACGCACCCAAACGCACAAATCCGCTCCGCTCGCTCGCTCGCTCGCTCGATCCAACACAAAAACACACGCGCCAGAGAGGCATGAGAGTGAGAGAGGGAGAGAGGGAGAGTGCCAGCCAGGCTGCTCAGCCCGACCGTCGCCGTCGCTGCTTTCTTCGCCCAGGCGCGCAGCAGCAGCTCTTTGTCGCCTCGCTCGCCTGGCCTGCATTCCCCCGTCAAGTGGCTGCAACACCCTCTCTTGCCCGCTCAAACGAGCGGCATATTCGCATCCACATCGCCCTTTCCACCACCTCCTCGAACCACCACCCATCTTCCTCGCCGGGCGTGCAGCATTCGCATTCGCAGCCATCAGCAAGGCGCACACACCCAACAAGGCCCTTCGATACGCATCGCACCGCATCCCATCGCGCCAACGCGTACCACTGCTCCGACGCAATCGTAGCAGCGCGGGAAATCAAGCGCGCCTCCTCCTCAAGCCAGACCCTCCCATCTCCTTGCACATATTTCGCCCACCATGGACGTAGACCTCATCCAGGTCGTCAACAAGCTCCAGGAGACCTTCACCGCCATCGGCGGCGACTCGGTCGACCTGCCCCAGATCGTCGTCGTCGGCTCCCAATCTGCAGGCAAATCGAGTGTGCTCGAGACCATCGTCGGTCGCGACTTCCTGCCCCGAGGCAGCGGCATCGTCACCCGCCGTCCGCTCGTCCTCCAGCTCATCCACACCCCTTCCGTCAAGGACCAGGCCAAGCACGCCTCTTCGCGTCCCTACGACCTCAACGATGACGGCCCCCAGCCCGAGCTCCTCCGCGGCTCCCACGCATCCTCGTCCGCCGCCAACGGCAGGACACCCACCTACGAAGAGTACGGCGAGTTCCTCCACCTCGACAAGCGCTTCACCGACTTCAACGAGATCCGCCGCGAAATCGAGAACGAGACCTTCCGCGTAGCCGGCCAGAACAAGGGCGTCTCCAAACTCCCCATCCACCTCAAGATCTACAGCCCCAACGTGCTCAACCTCACCCTCGTCGACCTGCCCGGCCTCACAAAGATCCCCGTCGGCGACCAGCCCAGCGACATCGAGCGCCAGATCCGCAACCTCGTCACCGACTACGTCTCCAAGCCAAACTGCATCATCCTCGCCGTCAGCCCCGCCAACGTCGACCTCGCCAACTCGGACAGCCTCAAGCTCGCACGCACCGTGGACCCGCAGGGCCGCCGCACCATCGGCGTCCTCACCAAGCTCGACCTCATGGACCAGGGCACCCACGCCCTCGACATCCTCACCGGCCGCGTCTACCCGCTCAAGCTCGGCTTCATCGGCGTCGTCAACCGCTCCCAGCAGGACATCAACGGCAACGTCTCCATGCTCGCCGCACGCAGGGCCGAGGAGGACTTCTTCCGCTCCCACGCCGCCTACAAGAACATCGCACACCGCTGCGGCACAAAGTACCTCGCAAAGACGCTCAACCAGGTGCTCATGAGCCACATCCGCGACAAGCTGCCCGACATGAAGGCGCGCCTCAACACCCTCATGGGCCAGACCCAGCAGGAGCTCGCCGCATTCGGCGACACCACCTTCCTCGGCGACCAGCACCGCGGCTCGCTCGTCCTCAAGCTCATGACCCAGTTTGCGCGCGACTTTGTCGCCTCCATCGACGGCACCACCTTTGACATCTCCACCAAGGAGCTCTGCGGAGGCGCGCGCATCTACTACATCTTCCAAGACGTCTTTGGCCACGCGCTCACCAGCATCAACCCCACGCACAACCTCACCGTCCAGGACATCCGCACCGCCATCCGCAACTCCACCGGCCCGCGCCCCTCGCTCTTTGTCCCCGAGGCCGCCTTCGAGCTGCTCATCAAGCCCCAGATCAAGCTGCTCGAGCCGCCCAGCTTGCGCTGCGTCGAACTCGTCTACGAGGAGCTCATGAAGATCTGCCACAACTGCACCAGCTCCGAGCTCCAGCGCTTCCCGCGTCTGCACGCGCAGCTCATCGAGGTCGTCTCGGAGCTGCTGCGCGAGCGTCTCGGCCCCACCTCCGAGTACGTGCAGAGCCTCATCCAGATCCAGGCCGCCTACATCAACACCAACCACCCCGCGTTCGTGCACGACTCGGCCAACATTGCGCGCGAGCAGCGCGAGACGCAGGCGCGCAAGCAGGTCGCCATGCTTCCGTCGTCGTCGAGGCGCAAGGCGTCGTTCGACGACGCCGCCGACGTGTCGGCCGAGCTGTCGGACGACGACGATGCCGACAGCGTCAACGGGCCCCATGCGCGCAGTCTCACCGTCAACGGAAGCTCCAAGACCGGCGGCAGCAGGCGCGACAAGAAGGAGCGCTCCAGCTCCACCTCGCACGACTCGCGCCCGCACTCGGCATCCGCGCCCGAGGGCGGACGCCACCACACCATCGGTCACGCGTCCGGCAGCTCGTTTGCCAACGGCGCTGGCGCTGGCGGGGGAGCCAAGGACACGTTCCTCAACTACTTTTTCGGGGGTGCGTCCGGGCTGCCCGTGGGAGGTGCGGGGCCTGCGTCGGGGCTGGGTGGCTACCATGCGCCTGCCCCTGCGGCGCGTCTGGCCGAGTACAGCTCGGTGCGGGAGCACAAGCCGAACGCCATGTCGGGGCGCACGGGTCTGGAGGGCAACTCGGCGGCGTACGACATGAAGTCGCTGGACAAGCATCTGGAGGCGACGCCGATCTCGTCGGACGAGTATGCGCTGTCGGACCGCGAGGAGCTCGAGACGACGCTGATCCGCTCGTTGATAGCGAGCTACTTCAACATTGTGCGCCAGGGCATCCAGGATCTGGTGCCCAAGGCGATCATGCATCTGCTCGTCAACTTTAGCCGCGAGAGCGTCCAGAATCGGCTCGTGGCGAGCCTGTACAAGGAGGCGCTCTTCGAGGATCTGCTGTACGAGGACGAGGGGCTTACCAGCGAGAGGAAGCGCGTCAAGCAGCTCCTCGACGCCTATCGCGAGGCCTTCAACACGCTTTCGGAAGTCACCTTCAAGCCCGCAGCTGCAGGTGCGGCGTAGAGAGGCGTGCGCAGCTTGGGCTGGGTACGGCGCGCGATTGGTTCACAGACACGAATGAACACGATTCTCTTCTATTGCTAAACGAGGTTGGAGTGTCCATTTCGCACGGCGTGCTGGGCGTATAAACAAGCGGCATCTACAAGTGAAAGGCTCGAGACGAGGTCAAGCGTTGGGGAGGGCCGAGTAGAGGAGGAGGGCGATATCTGCAAAGGAAGGGTTGGAGTCGAGATCGAGATCCTGCTGTTTTTCGTGCTCCGGTGTGCTTGCAAAGGCACGAACGAGGTGGTTGAGGTACGACACGAACCTATCGTGGAGAGCTTTATCCTGGAAAGCGGAGGGACGGGAAGAGAGTCCGATGCTGAGACACTGTTGTCCGCTGGTGTTGTATCCAAGGACGTCGATACCGAATGCTTCTCCCTGAGGTGTGTGAGACTGAGCCCAAGAGGCATCCGTCACCTTCCACCCTTGGCCGTGGAGGGTGGAAAGGTCGATCATGCCGAGGTTGCTGACGGTGAATGCGGCATCGAAAGGTGTGCTTGACTCCATGCGGGATCCGAAGAACTTCTCCCATCCATTTGCGTATGCCTCGGGATCGCCTTCAAAGTCCGGGATGTAGGCGAGCATTCCCATATGGTGTTTTGCCTTGTTCCGCCCACGGGGACTGGCGAGCTTGGCCGAGAAGCGATTGGCCTCTGTCCAAAACGGCACGCCGCCACGGAGAGTGGTCTTGCACGTGTAGGACGAGACGTAGTTGCCCGATACCTCGGGCAACCCTGGCGCATCGGTTCGAAGCGAAATCGGCGTACCTGTACGGAAGACCATGTCGAACTCGCCCAGTGCATGCGCCTCGAGAGGTCGCGCAATGGCAGCATACAGGGCAGCTAGAGCGAGGGTATGTAGGACTGCATGCAGAGTGGCTGGTTTCCCCTCCGCCGGGTTGTGTGCGTGGGCAAGCTGCTTGAGGTTGGTGATGAGCTGTGGCGCCGAGACGAGCATAGTGTCGAGCGCTGGTGCGCAGCCTTTGGGACAACGCCCCACCTCGTTCGTCTGCGCAGAGACGGGCGCCTCGGGCCACGACACCGGCCCACGTAGCTTGGTGGCCAACTTGCTTGGAAGCGGCAGTTTAGGCAGCAGCAGCTCCTTCCACACCATCCCGAGCATGTAACGCACCGACGGCTTGAAGTCGAACACCACATCCGACGCTTTCGGCATCTCTGCCGCAGGCGCATTGGGCGGCTCCGTAGCCTGGAGTAGGAAGCGGAAGAGGTTGAGCGTTCCGCGTCCATCGTTGATCGCATGGTCTGTAGCCAGGACCACGAGTGCGCCTTGGGAATCCTGTACGCGGTGCAGCTGAACTTGCCACAGCGGTCCGGTTTCGAGCGCACTCGTCTCGGGCAGGCTGAGCTGAACCCCCAGCAGTGCCTGTGCCATGATCTTGTCTCCAGCCACCCCGTCGACTGCGGCTCCTAGACGCAGGATATCGCTCGATGTCGGTGCTTTTGCCATGGGGGCCCAAGTGGGCTTGCGAGATCGGGGTGATTGGACGCAGTATCCCAGCAGAGGGTAGAGTTGCAGCGCGCTGTCGATGCGTCGTGCCAGATGCGCCTGCAGCTGCTCAAACGCCTGATCGGACGCATCGAGGTGCACAAGCGCAGCAGCCGCCACGATCGACGGCGACTCAACGCTGCGCCTCGCAACACTATACCGCTCGTGCAAGCTTAAGCTCCGTGCGTGTGTCATGGTCAAGTGATGTGATGTGATGGGGAGGCCAATCCAACTCTGAGCCTAAACCGAAAAGGGAGGGCCCTAATATAATCGAGCTCCCTCCGCAACTGTCGAGCAAGACGTGATTATGGCGCGGAGCTTGGTGGCACCATCGCGTCTGGACTACGAGGGCTAGGTAGGACAAAGCTTCATACGCTGCCGTACTAGGCGGACTGCATCCGGCACCAGTGTGTGTGTGGGGGAGAAAGGGAGGCGTTCGGAAGTATAGCGCGCTCCGCTGCTTTCGGAAGTTGTCCCTCCCCCGCCGGACCCTGAAATCCCACTCGCACCAGCGGAAATCGGCCAAAAGCTGCCGAGCGATTCGCGTGCGCCCCCCATCCGCCTCTGCAGCGCGCCGGCGATTCGCGACTACCTTATCGCACGATATGAATATACCTTTGAGCGGCTGTTACATCGTCAGATGGTGAAGAGGCGGATTTTGTGGCTGCAGCTTCGACGCGTCGATCGGGCTTCCGTTGGCAGTCGAGCAAGCAAAGCCAGCAGGCAGGCAAGCGGGGCGAGCCGACGCGAAATCCGAGAAAGTGGACCATTGGGCGGCGGCACGCTCTGGCCTGCGGGAGAGAGGAAGCGGTGGGCAGAATTTCGCCTCCACGCTCCCAATCCGAATTCCAGAGACAAACGAGCAGCAGCGAGCAGCAGCGAGCGGTCGGGGCAAGCGAGAGAATCGAGCGAGGCGCGATAGAGCCAGCCAAGCAGCAGCAGCAGCAGCAGCA